TGAACTAGTTAGAGTCTGGTCTGGCAGGAGCATTACAGCTCTCTAGGAAAGGTCAAAAGTCTAGGCTAGTCCCCGGAAAGTACATACTTTTGGGGGTTATCGGAGAACTTCCCCAGACCTATCATTATATACCTAGGGTCAGAGAGGAAAAAGGACACATGTACCCTGGTGACAAAATTTCCTGAGACCACCTCCTGAAGACAGCATTATTGAGCTCTCGTTTGCTTCTAAAAGGGACTTGACTTTACTTCCAAGAGTTTCAGTAGTTCTGGTAGACTCAGAGAATCCTGGATATGCAGGACAGAAAGGGCTCACCACAGGTCCATAGGGAGATTCTGGTTGGGGTGGAGCAGGTACTGGGAGTTTGGAAATGGTCTTATTTTTATTAGCTTATGGACGTTTCAGACTTATGAACTTGAGTTGGACTGGGCTGGGATGTTTTCCTGATACACAATTACTCTTGATATAAAGCTCTTTCCTACACATATATGACTATTACTGGATTTGCTTCTCTAGTCGACCCGGCCTAACATACATGATGATTTAAATAGGTCATGAAGAATAAGTAAAACATCACAAAATTGTTGGCGGCAGATCAATAAATCACAGTTGTAGGACGGGCAGGGAATTGGTAAAGGAACCATAATTGGGATGCATACCCTACTATAGATTAGTGATTAAGCTTACAAGATTGGTTCAGGGCCCTCCAAACAAGATACATAAGACTATGAGTACCCTTGATGGGGCACACCCAGGCAAGTCCCTAAGGGCAAGGTGACCCCTCCCTGGGCTGGCTAAGGGAGCTGTAGTAATCCACTTTCACACATTTTCTGCCTGGCAAAGTTTTTCCTATCGTCTGGCATAGGTCAGACGAAACTCAATAGAGACTCAAACTACATGGAGAAACAATAATGATTTAGGGCTTCCACTGTAAACTCTCTCACTCATTCATTCACCCACTGCTATAGGACAAAGCAGAAGCAATTCTGTGGGTTTCCAAGATTGTAACTCTTTACAGGAGTCGAAAGCCTTGTCTTTCTCTTGAGGAGTGGCTGGTGGTTTTGAACTACTGACCTTGCAGTTAGCAGGCCAGTGTGGAACCACTACCCCACCAGGGACTTCTCCAAACTTCATGCTCAGAATTTAAGCCCTAATACGAGGGTCAGTTCAACAGCTAAACTGACTTCGATCCTTTGCATTTAATGATTTTTTTTCATGAAGAACTTTATAACCAAAAATTAAGGGATCATAGATATAGAGGTGTCTGTACTGTCTAAACTGTGTACCTGTGAAATGGCCACCGGTAGGCCTCACACAACTCCAACAGTGGTACATAACTGTTGAACAGTCACTTCATGTGGGAGGATAGGAGTCAAATGGCTAATAGCCAGATTTAAGTAAATGTGTGACCAAAAGGATTA